GCTCGTGGATAGCATGCGTGGAGGAAGAACGAGAATTTTTTCCTGATCTATATTATTATTTGATTAGTAGTGATTTTGGGTAAGTAGTGATTGTGGTGTATTGTTTTTCATATATATTAGTACTTATTGTTATTGTAATCAACAGTTGAGCAGTGATATTTGTAAAGTATTAGTAGTGTTTTGTATATTAGTAGTAATATGATAGAGACCCGCTCGGTGGGTAGGGCGGGTTGGGTTCGGCCATGTGGGCGGGGTTGAGTGGCAGTTTTGTTATTTCTTGTTAGTTTTCTGAAACTCATAAAAGAGGGTTCAGTACGTTCATTTGAGATTAAGCAATAAGAATATCAAAATTCCTAAATCCCTCTTTTCTCTATTCTTCCCCAATTCTTTCTCAATCCCTAATTTCATTTCTCAATCCTATTCTCCTCTATCATTTCGTATCAGAGCCACCATGAGCTCGATACGGCTCTCTGATCTGGACTGGACTTGTGTTAAACACCAGCTTGACGCCATCCGGGCTGACCAAGCTAGAACCGCGCACGAACAGGGAAGGGAGGTCGTGGCTGCCGCGGCAGTGAGACAAAGGAAGGGGCGACTCCGTCTCCCTCTTTCCATTAAGTGACGGGGCTGCCGACACCGGGGACTCTCCGTTTCCTGGCACAGGTTGCCGGTACCATGACCTTAACTCTGGTGGATAGTGGCGCCACCCTAAACTTTATTAGCGAGGAGCTAGCTAAACTTCTTTCGCAGGCGCCAAGTTCGGTGGATCCGATGGTGGTCCGAGTGGCGAATGGGGCACCTATGCAGTGCAAGGACGTTTATCGGGAGCTTCCGTTCGAGATTCAAGGGCTGCCTGTCACCGCGGATGTGTTTGTGCTGCCCATTCGCGGGTTTGACATGATTTTGGGTGTTCCATGGATGCAGGGATTGGGACCAGTCACCACCAATTGGCGTAGCTTAACCATGCGATTCAAATGTCGAGATAAGGAGTGGTGTTTGCAGAGGCTTACCACGGCCCTAGTCTTGGTTCTCTCCACGAGTGTGCCATCGAGGAGGAGGCAAAGCTGGCAGTCCTATGCTGGCCCGTGGTGCCGATTGAGGACCAGGAGCTGGCTCCCGACCTCCAACGGGTGCAGGCAGGATTTCCGAAGCTATTTCAGACACCGACCACATTACCTCCCCACCGACAGGTTGACCACCGCATTCAGCTCAAGGGAGGAGTGGAGGCTGTGAACGTCTGTCCTTACCTATACGGCCACTCCCAGAAGGAGGAGATCGAACGACAGGTGGAGGAGATGCTCGCGACCGGCCTGATTCGGCCGAGCACCAATCCCTTTTCCTCACTGGTGTTGTTGGTTAATAAGAAGGATGAGACTTGGCGATTCTACACGGATTACAGGGCACTCAATGCCGCGACGGTGAAGGATCGATTTCCGATCCCGACGATGGATGATATGCTCGATGAGCTCCACGGATCGACCTACTTCACTAAGCTCGATTTGCGAGCAGGGTACCACCAGATTCGGATGCAGGAGGAGGATGCGCACAAGACCGCTTTCCGGACTCATAATGAACATTATGAGTACTTGGTCATGCCATTCGGCTTGTGCAATGCTCCCTCGACCTTTCAGATAGCGACGAATGACATTTTCCGACCTCTATTGATACGGTATGTGCTAGTATTTTTTGATGATATTCTAGTCTACAGTCCATCTTGGGAGATGCATTTGCAGGCGGTGTTTGAGATTCTACGACGCCATCAGTACTACCTCAATGCTTCGAAGTGTGCATTTGGGGTGGAGAAGGTTGAGTACCTGGGCCACATTGTCACACCATAGGGGGTCCAGGTGGATCAGTCGAAGATTCAGGCTATGGTCGAGTGGCCAACCCCGGCCACTGTCACGGAGCTGAGAGGGTTCCTGCGCTTGACCAGTTACTACCGGAAGTTTGTGCAGGGATACAGTATGATCGCCCGGCCCCTGACTAACCTATTGAAGAAGGGCGGGTTTTCATGGACAGCGGAAGCAGATACGACATTTCAGCAGCTGAAGCAGACCATGACTACCACCCCGACCCTAGCCATGTCAGATTTCTCTCGGACTTTCATGATTGAGGCGGATGCTTCTAGACGAGGTATTGGGGTGGTGTTATCTCATGATCGTCACCCAGTGGCCTATATGAGTAAGACCTTGGCTCCATCCAAGGAAGCTTGGTCTACTTACCAGAAGGAGTTGCATGCTATCATCACAGCAGTGCAGATGTGGCGACCATACCTTCTGGGCCAGAAGTTCCACATTTACACCGACCATCAGAGTCTGAGGAACCTCTTGGAGCAACGAGTTTCCACTCCCAATCAACACAAGTGGGTCTCGAAGCTTCTTGGGTATGATTATGAGATTCATTACCGGTCGGCTCCCTCCAATGTCGTGGCAAATGGGCTCTCGCGGCGTCCTGGGGGCGAGATACTGGCAGCAGTAACGGGGCCTGTGCCCCAGTTCTGGGACACGCTACGGGCTCTTACGAAGACCGACGCCTACTTGCAGGGTTGTTGGGATACAACAGTCAGTGAAGCTCCGGGCCATTATTCCTTTGGGCAAGAGTTGGATTCTTCCATGGGCGCCTTGTCCTTCCACGGGGATCTTCACTGGTGACGACCGTGCTGCAGGAGTATCATGACTCTCCGTTTGGAGGGCATTCGGGGGTCGAGCGGACGCTGAGGCGGATCCGGGCACAGTTTTATTGGCCCCAGATGGGTCAGAACGTGAAGGACTATGTCGCGTCATGCAATACTTGTCAGCGGGTCAAGGTATCTCATCTCCGACCGGCAGGTCTCTTGCAGCCTTTGCCGGTACCCGAGCGGGTGTGGGAGGACATCAGTATGGACTTCATCATCGGCCTCCCCCCTTCCATAGGAAAGACGGTCCTGTTTGTCGTTGATCGACTGACGAAATATGCCCATTTCATTAAGGGTGGAAATCGGTACGGTATCGGTATCCCAATACCAAATACCGAAATCCCGAATACGTACCGAATTATACCCGAAAGTCAATCCCAGTCCCAATTCCTAAATAATTTCGGTATCCCAATCCCAATCCCTAAATATTTCGGTATCCCAATCGGTACTTCGGTATCCCAATCAGTATTATCGAATACGAAATAAATTACATTTGAAATAAATAATTAAATATGTTAGAATATGACTTGAATTTAATTTGGGTTTGTTTTGTGTTTAGGCCTATTCTGTTTGGGTTTGGGATTGGGTTTTGTTTTGACCTTTTCCTTGTATGTTTGGGAAAAGGTGTTTGATTTTCTGTTTGGGATTAGGAGAAGAGTTCTATAAATACTCTTCATCACCCTAGTATGTAGTAAGGTCAGTCAGGTTAGTTTGTTTGGTTTGTCCGTTTGGAATTTGGTTTGTAACCTGTACTCTCTTCGAAATTAGTGAAATTTGTTCTCCTCTGCCAGTGGATTAGCTAGCACACATTGTGTTAGTGAACCACGTTAAATTTGTGTTCGTTCGTGTTGGTTTGGATTATCGATTGCACGCTTCTGTTCTGACAAGTGGTATCAGAGCCTTTGGTTACGGTTTTGGGAATTAGGCATTGGACTGAAGTTTTGCTTTGTGGAAGTAGCTTTCAATTCTTCAGCTTGGTTCGGTGGAGGAATCGCTTTGAAGTTGACTTTGGGTAGTTGTGTTTTGGTCTCGCTTGTTTGGTTGGAGTTTGTTTGATAGTAAGAATGGCTTCTATCAGTATGAAGATCGAGAAGTAAATTTGGAGTTGCAGGCTTGGAGTTAACAGTAAATCTGATGTTGGTGTTATCGATGGAAATAACACCAAGTTGGTTATGCATGGCAAGTCCCAACATGGGTTGGACTTGCTGCATGTTTTGATTTGTTGACCGCCCTTAGGGGCATTTGGAGGCAGGGGAGATTCTGGTACAACTGATTTGGAGAAGTTTGGTACGTCTGACAATTTTGATTGCATCTGAGTTTGGCAATTTGCATTGCGTTTGGTCTGGCGATATGAATCGCATTTGGATATGTCTGGCAATCTTGATTGCGTTTGAGTTTGGCGGTTTCGATCGCATTTGGATACGTCTGGCGATATGTATCGCGTCTGGGTACATCTGGCAACTTTGGTTGCGTTTGGTACATCTGGCAACTTTGGTTGCGTCTGGTTCATCTGGTATTTGACAGAGAATCCAAGTCAAGGTGGAGATTGTTAGAATATGACTTGAATTTGATTTGGGTTTGTTTTGTGTTTAGGCCTATTTTGTTTGGGTTTGGGATTGTGTTTTTTTTTTACCTTTTCCTTGTATGTTTGGGAAAAGGTGTTTGATTTTCTGTTTGGGATTAGGAGAAGAGTTCTATAAATACTCTTCATCACCCTAGTATGTAGTAAGGTCAGTCAGGTTAGTTTGTTTGGTTTGTCCGTTTGGAATTTGGTTTGTAAACTGTACTCTCTTCGAAATTAGTGAAATTTGTTCTCCTCTGCCCGTGGATTAGCTAGCACACATTGTGTTAGTGAACCACGTTAAATTTGTGTTCGTTCGTGTTGGTTTGGATTATCGATTGCACGCTTCTGTTCTGACAAAATATATAAATTAGATTTGATTGTTTAATTTAGGGCAAAGGAATAAGCAAAGAGTTTTGAGTTTGCCTAGAGCTGGGATATGGATTAGGAGAATGAAAGAGAGGTGACATCTCAAGTTCTTGTCATTGGTAATCTTTAATTTGACGAATTGAAGGCTGAGAGACGACTAATACTAGTGTTTGTTTTTTGGTGTTATGAAAATAACAAGTTATTAGGTGAGAGATGAGAGTGACCTGAATTCGAAAGTCAAAATTGAGTTGGATAAATAACACTCTTGGTGGTTGAGGGTTGTGTTGTAGTGAATGAGAGAGTCTAGTTGAGAGGATAAAATACACACTAGCTTATATTTCGGTATTGATCGGTATTTTGGTATATACCGATCCCAATCCCGTAATCCCTAATACCGAATTACAATTGAAATTCAATCCCAATCCCAAAAAATAATACGTGTATTCGGTAAAACCAAATATAGACAAATTCGGTATGGTATTTGGTATATCCCAAATACCGGTACCAAACTTCCAGCCCTACATTTCATGGCCCTGGCGCACCCGTATACAGCCCGGTCAGTGGCAGAACAGTTTGTGATGGGGGTTGTGCGCCATCACGGGTTTCAGAGGTCTATTGTCAGTGATAGGGACTCCATTTTCTTGAGCCGTTTCTAGAAGGAGGTGTTCGCTATGGCCCAAACCACACTGCGGATGAGTTCCGCCTATCATCCACAGACAGACGACCAGACGGAGGTGGTTAACCGTTACCTGGAGCAGTACCTGCGCTACTTTGCCCATCAGCGCAAAGTATAACTCTACTTACCATAGGACGAGCCAGACTACGCCGTTTGAGGCTCTTTATGGGATGCCACCACCTTCCTTGGTCCGCTACCAGCGTGGCACCAGCCAGGTGGGTGCGGGGGATCGTTGGCTCGAGACACGAGATGAGGCCTTGGAGCAGCTCAAGGCCAACCTGGCGGCTGCCAACAATAAGATGAAGCAATGGCCGATGCAGGACATCACTGGGTTCTGCTTCGTCTTCATCCTTACAGGCAGGCTTCCGTCTTTCCCCGTACCTACCAGAAGTTGGCAGCTCGTTACTATGGGCCCTATGAGATACTACAGAAGATTAACCCGGTAGCATATCAATTGCGGTTGCCCGCTGATGAGTGCATCCATCCCACTTTCCACTTGTCATTACTGAAGCGGTACAGAGGAGCGGCGGATCGGGTGGAGACAACCGCCCCGCCGGTTTCCGCGGATGGGGACCTTGAGCTAACCCCCTTGCAGGTCTTGGATACCAGGTGGGTGAAGAAAGGGGGGCGCATGACTGAGGAGAGCTTGGTTCTGTGGAAGCACATGGAGAGAGAGGATGCCACTTGGGAGGAGACGGCCACGCTCTGACAGCGATTCCCGACATTCGACCTTGAGGGCAAGGTCGTTTCTGATGGGGAAGGGGATGATAGAGACCCGCTCGGCGAGTAGGGCGGGTAGGGTTCGGCCATGTGGGCCGGGTTGAGTGGCAGTTTTGTTATTTCTTGTTAGTTTTCTGAAACTCATAAAAGAGGGTTCAGTACGTACATTTGAGATTAAGCAATAAGAATATCAAAATCCCTAAATCCCTCTTTCTTTCTCAATCCCTAATTTCCTTTCTCAATTCCCAATCCTATTCTCCTCTATCATTTTTTTTACTGTAACCTACACTTAGCTTTTATTCAATCGCAACAGAATCAACATTGTCAATTACAAGCTGATCTAGCATATTCAGCGGGGATTCTCCTCTATCATAATATTTGTTCTTTGTAATACTTTTTTCATTTACAGTATTATTCTTTCCAAATATCATCAACTTCTTCTATTTGAAAAACGCTACTAAAAACAACGAAATCACTACGGAATATTATAAAATCAATACAACATCTAAGCTACATCACTACTAATTCAAACTAGTAGTAGTTTTTTCCCTAGTATTTTTTTGATAACCCATGAACCTCAACCCCACATGCCACTTTGTGACAACGTGATCTACTAAACCTGGGGAGCACCTGTACAAGACACAACATCGGGAGACTTCGTCCCCCGCACTCAGGCATGCCTCCGGGAATACACAAACGGCGCCTCTGGGGATCGAACTCAGGACCTCTCATATCCTCAGCCAACCAGGACCTCTCATATCCTGAGCCAACTCAGGGATGCCTCCGGGAATACACAAACAACGCCTCTGGGGATCGAACTCAGGACCTCTCATATCCTGAGCCAACCAGATCAACGGGTTCACCGCTAGGCTATATTACCTTTGGCTTTTCCCTAGTATTTTTTCACGTTAAAGTTCTTTGCGAAGGGGGAGAGAGATAATTAAATTTTAGTTTATTTATTAAATTTAATTTTACTAAATACCAATAAAGCCCTCCATTGCTTCTTGGTTAGGACGGTGATAACTCTTATACAATTAGCATCGTAACTCCTCCCCTTTTGATAACGTGTGTGTGCGTGTTTAAACTTTAAATTTAACCAATAGGCCAATAGAAAGCCCACAAATAAAAGAAGGGAATCGCGGTTCCTTTAAACCCACCCAACCCAAGGCTTTTAATATCTTAATTAATGTCAACCAAGCTCAACTTGCACTGCAAATAAAATCGCCCAACTAATTCAAACGTCCATGTTCTCTCTTACACAGACTTTCCTTGCAGTTCAAACTTCAATGCCAAGAACTAAGCAAGCACGCCAGCAGCAAAATTGCAGAAATGTAAAAAGATGTTTCGTTGGCGAAACTCGCGCGTTCAATGCGCTCTGATTTCAAGGAAACAAAAGCCCAAAGTCAGCAAAAAATCGTCAAATATCCGCCACCGAATGTCGGCGCCGTTGATTTGATCGATTAAACAGAAACCAAGATGACTGTCAAATATCCACCGCCGGTGTCGGCGATGTTGATTCGATCAATACACCTTTGACTCCTAATCAAACAACCGTTACTCGGTTCACCACCTCTCCAAACTACGTTCGAACGAGGGTGTTCAACGAGAAACGAGAAACCAAACCGGGAGTGTTCTAAGTTACGTTACCTCTACTCCTATGGAGGTTCCTCTGGAGAGCTCCGCAACTACGACTACGACTACTACGACTCTGCAAAGGAGGTCTTTGACAGAGAAGTTCTACGAACTAGAGAGAAAAAGATAAATCTGCGTAGGTGCAGTTTGTGATTTGATTTTGCCCTCCTTGCTTCTCTCTCTTCCCGATCTTTATACTTCGCGCTTCTCCCCGTCGTAGTAACTGCCTTCGCGCCTTTGTCTCCCACGTCTTCACTCCTGTCAACCGTGCAGGTAACTTCCTCCTTGTTGCGTGATAGTCACGTGCCCTCGAAACCGCTCCTGTTTGCATAAACTTGGCGAAACGACGTTGAGCCAAATCCTACAACCTTGTCCATGTAACGATGTCGTTTCACCAATACCGCGGCATCACCTTTCACTAATCGATGCCGTTTCATAATCACCACTCAATTGCCTCGACCCGGTTTGACCAACAACACCGTTAGCCTATCATACAACGTCGTTTTCTAGTCTTGGGCTGTCGTTGGGCTTGGCGGGCCGCCTTTGGCCGAACTCTTACCCACTGACGCGGTGTCGTTTTACCTTTCCGCGGCATCGCTTTTCAAACGATGCTGTCAAACAATGTCGTTTTCCATTCCGCGACATTGTTTTGTTTTTCAACCAAACCGTACCGTTGGTCTTTCCGCGGCATCGCTGAAAACGGTACTGTTGTTCTCGTCTTGTAGTGCCGTTGGTCTTGCCGGGACTCGCCAAAATCCAACCCGCCGTGGTATGGTCTCGAACGCCTAGTAATATCACGGCGTTGTTGATGCTTTAAGCAGTGTCGTTTTGATATTAAACGACTCCGCTTCCAGCCTTGCGGTGTAGTTTTCTTCCCCAACCAGCCGTTTGTTTTTTTCTCTTCCGCGACACTGTTTATTATTAAACACTATCGTTTGCTAGTATAGCGGTACTGTTTTTAATTCCGCGGCACCGTTTTAGCTCTCCGCGGTGCCGCTTCTCCATATCCAACAAGGAATAAAAATTAATAATAATTAATTAGAGTAAACAAAACTCATTCCCCAACACTCAACTAACGCGCGGCCCCTCTTTTGTTTTTTGGTGACCGGTGCCGCGGTACCGCTGAGCTTCCTTGCAATACCGTTTTAATTCTCCATGCGGTACCGATTTTCCCATTCCTACAAGGAATAAAGGTAATAATTAATTATAAAACTCCCTTCTCCAACCCAACTACACGCGTGACCCCTTTTGTTTTTCATTAAGCGGTGTCGTTTCCCATGCCGCGGTACCGCCGAGCTTCCTTGCGGTACTGTTTTAACTCTCCGCGACGCCGCTTAACTCCAAACGTCATCGTTTTTAACCCGCGGTATCGAATTAAATGCCGAGACTAATTAATGCGGCATTTAATTTCGGCCAAATTAATTTTAGGTGTCAACAAAAGACCAGAAAGGAAACTGACTCCCTCTAAGTTAAGCTAAAGTTGAATCAATGTGAAATGCAAGAAAACTCAGTCATGAAGTTCGACATGTACAATCCAATTGGAGACGGCAACCACAATGTCAGCGTTTCGTTGGAGAATGCTGAATGGATTACTTTTAAAACCACTTCAAGGTTTTCAAGGGGCTGAAGACTTAAGCGGCTATGGTCAACTCACATATGGCAAGCTTCCTCTCCCAACAGCTACTACAACAGACTTGGAAGGAGACAGAGCTATGTACAACACAGTTCCATAAAAAGTTTCGTCAACAGTTCTTAATTGCTAAACTGCTGATGCTTATACAATACTAATTCAAGCTATCAGTAATCAGTATCATGTTGCCGGATCCCTGATGCACATGAAATTCCTCTGTGTTGCTTCTTGTCGCCTCATTTGTTGCCATGACAGGCTGATGGAAATTCTCGAACCAGTGAAGTTCTCGAAATGCAGCTAGGAGGCAAACACTCCGGTGAAGGGTTTGATCCCTGGGTACGAATCCAATTCATCTAGCAGTTCAAGAGTTCAAACAATATCAAACATTAGGGAACGAGATGGAAACGGCATTGAAGGTACACCTCAGGAGTCAGGATTAGGTCCGTAAGAGTTACCTTGTGGAACTTTATAAACAAAAAAACATGCTGCTATAATAACGTAGCACAGAACAAGAACTGCCCCTTTCAAGTAGTGAGAGGTCCCATCCTGCATAAGCAATTGACTTGTTAACTGCCATCCCAACAAAATGATTGATCAGCAATGAAAAATTCCTGATGGTGGTTCTTTCACCTGCAAAGTGAAGGCCGTGATGACAATCGTGAAAGCTAGACAACCAGTTTCAAGGAGGCTGAAATCCAGGTCCATATTGACGTGCATAATCCAGGCTACTAGAACACAAAAGGGTACCTAGCAAAAAAAAAAAAAAAAAAAAAAGATTGGTGAGGGTGTCTCTCTTACTAGTTTTCTTTGCACGTTCAGTTTTTGCTTTCTTACCACAAACATTGAAATTTGAGTTGCAGAACCAAGAGAAACTCCCAGGGAAATGTCCTGCATATGCATATATGGATAGCCAAGTCAAGTTAATATGTCGGGAACAATAGCCTGCTAATAGTTGTGGGTTTTACCAGCTTGTTCTTGAAAGCAAAGATAATAGATCCAGCATGTTCCGCTGCATTGCCAACAATGGGCAGCAAAATTATGCTGATGAATCCCACCGAAATCCCCCACGTATCCGAAGCACACTAGTCATAACAACAACAACAAGATGGCACATGGAGAACATGGCAACACGATTTCCCTTTTAACAAGTAGAAGGAGCAAGTTACCACTTATCATGTACCTCAATTGTGCCCACAACATATTCAGATAACAAGGCTATGAAAACTGTCATGCCAACCAACCAAATGAAGGCACTCCAGAATCCGATCACTGCCCCTTCTTCTTCTCCCTCCTCTGATTCTCCATCTTCCTATCATTTCATCGAGTAATAGTTAACGGGAAGATGGGTAAAAGTTCTTCACAACAAAGTATCGATTAACCAAAACCATTAACCAATCAAATCACCTGTTGGGATTCAAAGAAATGCCTGTGTGTTTTAAGCTGGAAGATTATGTATCCAGCATATGCCAGAAGCATAAAAATGCTGCTCACTCTTGACAGCTGAAGAGTAGAGTAGGCAGTGGCTGGCCCTTTCCCCATTACATGCTTGAGCAGCAACGGCAGTAGGTTGCACAACAAGCCCAGTAACAGAAGTAGTGAGTTCACATCAGCCTGCTTCTGCTTACATATTATCACATTACAAAAAGAAGCCATTACTGCAAGAGTTTGGGACTAATCAAAATCGAGAAAAGGGTTTGCTGGACTTTACTCTGTCATATCTCTGCTCCTTTTTTATGTTAGCCAAACCTCCACAGAGAAGAGAGCTCCCAAGGACCAGAAGGAGATTAGAGAGAATGGAGCCGAACAAAGAGTACTTGAGGACATGGATTTTCCTCTGTCTTAGAGCAAACATTGCTATTATTAGCTCTGTTGCATTCCCACAAGTTGCATTCAAGAGCCCTCCAACTGCCCAAAGAAAGACGATCCAATCATTTTCAGACATCTGAAAATGGTGGGTTTTTATCAAATCCAAGAAATCTCCAGTTTCTGCTTACCCGTAGGACCAGTGAAGCAAGCAATTTGCCTGTAGGGACATTCATTGCATTACATTGCAACCGAAGCAGACAAAAGGACAGAAGGGAAGAATCAATGGTCAGGGTTGAAGAAGGAAGAAGGACAAAAAGGAAACGAAGCTTCATTGAAATGGAAAACCGCCGCAGCAGCAGCAGCAGTGAGTCTACTCACTCAGTGAGGAAGCTGACACGTTCAGCGAGTGGGGCCAGTCCAAGCAAGCTAAAACCGAATATCCATGGCTGCGTGGCGCAAACAACACAAGCAACCATTACACGTGTCACCAACTTTTCCACCCGAAGAAGATTTGATTCGCAAGTAATTTTGATTAACATGGGCTAAATTAATCATTGCGTGAGACCTACACACCTTTCCGAAGCTGTAGAAATCGGCAACAATGGCGAGAGGAATGGCAGGGAAGAGCACGGCCAGCTTGGTCCCAAGAACCACTAGCTGAAGATTCTTCCAAAAAGCCGTCCCCTTTTGGAACCCAGTACAGTCGGGCGGCGATTTCGTCGCCCCTTTCCCATTACTAACAACCGTATTCCAGCTGCCGCCGGTATCCTCCTGGGTCCTGATTTCTGTCTCCGGAGCGACGACGACGATGGAGACCTCCCTGTCACCAGCGCCGCTTGTCATTTTTTTTTTTTTTAGCTTTCCACTTGGCGTGCAAAGTTCAGCAAAGTAGGGGTTTGACGAAGTGGTGGGAAGAAGAAAAAAAAAATGGAAGTAGGTAGGACTTATGTGATATGTTGTGCCGGTTGAAAAGGGTTTTAATATATAGAAAGTGTAAAACAGAGAGAGACAGAGGAGCGGTGGCGTTACTCGCGCGATCACCGGAAAACCTTTGTGCGAAATTTCCTACACTCTCCAGATTATGCATGACACCGGGAGTTCATTGACGGTAAATAAAAGGAAGGAAACCTGACAGTGGATGAACGAGAAGGGGGAGAAAGGCTGGAAATTTCGTGGAAGGTTTTTGTTTTTAACTTCTTCTTCATTTTTACTCGACTGGAAAGGGGTCGCGGAAATTGGCAGTTTTTTTTTTAGCGTTTTCTCTTTTATTTGGAAAGAGATTGGATTGGGGTGCAAACCACGTGAAATGAGGTGGAGTCCAAGTTAAGATTGTTGCTACATTTTTTTTCTAGTAAAAGTCAGGTTTTTTTCCTGTTGATTTGTATGGTTGTCCCTTATATTTTTCTTGATGTGGTGGTCGATCGATCGATTGATGGCAGTTTTGGTTCTTGTCCTCATCTCAAGTGAGTTTGAGTGATGCAGTCGACGAGGATTCTTTCTCTAATTTGTATTAAGTGTTATCATATAGCACTGTAGATCAAATGAAATTAGTAACGATTGATTAAGTTATTTAGGTTTTCCAAAAAAATATGTTGGTTCAATTAGGGGTGGTTATACGGTCCGATTAAATTGGTCCAAATTGATCCGGTCCTGTTCGGACTTTTTGAAAATATAAGGACCAAAGATTGAATTGGATACAGTCCGGTCCGAACTCGGTCTTGATTTTATATTGAGCTTGTGGGGATTTGAGTGGCCTAAGGCCTGAAAGGGTGAGGAGTTGGTTAAGTTTTGTACTAAGTGCAAATGTTTGTGATCGTTATGCAAATTACCCTTACTTTTTGGGTGTTGAGCTCTCTTATCCGGTCTTTATCCAGTTTTCGATCCGGTCCCGAACGATTTTTACCTCAAATCTAAGCCCAAAGATTGGATTGGATTGGATTGTTTACTATTCAGTCCTGATCCGGTCTCGGTCCGGGTTATACGGTCCGGTTTCGAGTAAAACCAAAAAATTTGGACCAAATAGCCAGCCATAGGTTCAACCAAAGTGTCATCTGGTGGATAATTGACCTGGTTGACAATTCTGAGGGGCTTAGTGATCCTATAGAAAGTTACATCATCACAAGGTTACTATTACTTAGAGTCACATCACAAGGAGTGATCATTTTGTAACTGACCAAATCTTGGAGGAGTTTTATGCCATTAAGGTTTTAATCAATTCATTTTATGACAATCTACCCAATTGGCTCATCTCCGCGCCATTGTGGATGGCTTCCAACTCCCCTATGTGATCATTGGCGATTTTAACACTACTCTTCAATCTTCATGAGAGTGAGAAAGATGGGGGAAATCCGTGGAATAATGCTCAGGCCCTTAGCATGCGTGATTATATTCACACCCTCGGTCTTCACGATCCGGGGTATCAGAGGTATCAGAGAGATCCATTCACATGGACAAACAAATGAATGGGTGCAGCTTGCATTCGTGAGCGCTTGGACAGAGCGTTGTGCTCCAAGACCTGTATTGATTGATACCCGGACACCTTGGTGAAACATTTCACGAATCAGGGATCAGATCATTGGGTTCTCATCCTCTCAGACAAGCCCTATACCCGTAATAGTCGCCCACTCTTCTGGTTTGATGCTCGTTGGGCTGATAATTTAGAGGTCAAAGCAATGGTGACTTACGTTTGGCAGGAGGATGTTCAGGGTACCCCAATGTTTCAACTTTGGGAACGACTTAAGAAACTTTGTCATTTGCTTTATGACTAGATTAGGGCGGGTACTACGAATTCCCTGCGTAATATTTGGACTCTCTGGGCGGAAATTGATCGGATAAAATTAGTTCATCCCATTGATTGGGATGTGATCCACAATTTGGAGTGTGAATTAAATAGGCAGTGGGAGGCCGAGGAAATCTACTGGCAGCAAAAATCAAGGTTTCGTTGGCTAAAGAAAGGGGATAAGAATTCCTCGTATTTTCATACGGTAACCAAAGTTAGACGTAAAAGGAACTTTATCTTGGGCCTTCGTAATGATGACGGGGAATGGATTACAGAAGAAGGAGGAAAGGCTAACATTGCCTCCGATTTTATCAACACCTCTTCACTTCCGAATCCCATATCTCAAATATGACTGCTCGAGTAGTGGAGCTTCCAATTGACTGTCGGGTGACGGTAGAAATGAATGTGCATCTGACAACACCGGTCCTTCCTAGTGAAGTGAGAAGAACGGTCTTTTCAATGGGATCCAAACAAGCCCCTGGGTTTGATGGATTCACGGAGAATTTTTTTAAAGCCTTCTGGGATATTGTCGGTGACTCGGTGATTGCAGCGGTCTGCTCGTTCTTTTCCACAAGTAGGATGCTTTGTAGCTTTAATCATACTTGGCTTACATTGATTCCGGAAGTGGAGAATGTGGAGACTATGGCACAAATCAGACTCATTAGTTTATGCCAGTTTGTCTATAAAGTCATAACTAAAATTATGGTTGAACGGCTGGCCTGCTTTTTGCCGCAGATCATCTCGGAGGGCCAAAATACCTTCATTCGGGAACGTTAGATTGTGGAGAATGTTTTTCTTGGGCATGAGTTGATGCACTACTTGCAAAATCAAAACCAGTGGTAAGAAAGGGTTAATTGCTCTTAAGATTTACATGGAAAAATCCTATGATAGATTTGAATGACCCTTTCTGCTTGCGGTATTGAACAAGTTGGGCTTTAACTCGACCTAGAGGAACTGGGTGCATGAATGTATCAAATCGGCATCGTTCTTGGTCCTTATAAATGGTACGCCTAAGGGTTTCTTTTACCCCTCGCGAGGACTCTGGCAGGGGGATCCACTGTCTCCCCTACTGTTTGTGATTTGCGCAGAGGGATTTGCAGCTCTCCTGCGGCAAGCCATTGCAGAAGGAAAATTGCAAGGGGTGAAAGTAGTTCCTCAAGCTCCACAGATCTCACATTTGTTTTTTTTGCAGATGATTCTTATTTATTCCTCAGAGGCTCTCTCCAGGAATGTGAGAACTTGATCACGATTTTAAATAATTATGAGGACCTTAGTGGCCAACGGATTAATCTGGCAAAGTCGGCAGTATGCTTTAGTAAGAATATTACCCTGCCAGACCAGGAATTCCTAGCATAAATTCTCGGGGTAGGGGTTATGGGGGTCTAGGATAAGTATTTGGGTTTTCCTACCCTGATAGCCTAGTCAAAAATGGCAATTTAGATATTTGGAGGAGAAGTTGCTGGCTCAGCTATAGGGTTGGAAGCGAAAAACTCTGTCCTGGAAAGCAAAGGAGAATTTGATTAAATCAGTCGCCTTAGCTTTGCTGGTACATGTTATGTCTTGCTTCAAGCTACCCCTCTCGCTCTGTCGTCTCTTAGACGAACACGTTGCCAGGTTTTGGTGGGGTGTAGAGAATGGCCAACCGAAGATCCACTGGATGTCTTGGAGGAATATGTGCAGAAGTAAGCACGAAGGAGGGATGGGGTTTCGCCGGTTTGAACATTTTAATCAGGTGTTGTTAGTTAAGATTGGTTGGCGTATCCTTAGCGAGCCAACCTCTCTTCTTGCTCAGGTATACAAAGGTAAATATTTCTTGTCAGGGAGCTTCCTCGAGGCCACTGCTCGCTCGCACCCATCTTGGGGCTGGCAAAGCATCATGTTTGGCCAGCAACTGCTGATGCAGGGTCTGAGATGGCAAATTGGGAATGGGAAATCGACTCCTTTACTTCATACTAGTTGGGTGCCTCGTATTCATCCCTTTACCCCTACCATAACCCCCAAATCTTGCCAGGTAATGGGGTTCTTAAGGTAGCAGAGGTTATTTGCCAAAATGAAGGTCGATGGAGTGACTCAAAACTAAGTAAGTGGTTTGACCTGGATACCTGTCGTGCTATCAAGGAAATAAATCTTCCTCTTCGTGATGTTCATGATCGTCTAGTCTGGCATGGTACGTCGGATGGGGTCTTTATTGTGAAGTCTGCATACCACTTGGCAGTTGATTGGGATAGACAAGTTTGCAAATGGCGAGCCATGGTTAGCTGGATGGATAGAACCAACTGGATTTAATTATGGATGCTAATATTCCCCCCAAACTGAAAGTTTTACTATGGAAACTTTTCAATTGACTCCTCCCAACGACGGAGGTTCTTATTGAAAAGGTTGTCTAGGTTCATCCCAGGTGTCCGGTGTGTTGGGCGGAGTCAGAGACAATGGAACATTTATTTTCTTGAGTGTCCAATGGCTCGAGCCTTGTGGGATTATGCGAGATTGGAAAGTCTTGGACAAGGGCTTTCTCGCCGCACTTTCCCTTTGTTTCTGAAAAAGTTGATGACGCTCATACATCAACCTCCTATGCTGATGGCGGTTACCGCGGTCCTTTGGAGGATCTGGCGTTCTCGCAACTGGGTTGTCTTTGAAGGAAAACAGTTTGGGTTCCAAGCATTAATGCGCCAGTTCCATCAGCAATATAATGAGTAGGTAAAATTGCCTGTTGATAGGGCTCAGCGATTGCCCGTCTCTCTGGAACAACCTATAGGGGCTTTCCAGCCTAGTCCTTTTATATGTAGGTGGGATGGGGCTACCCAGCATGTGTCCCATTCGGCAGGAGGGATGGTTATCATGAGTCAATATGGGGTGGTTCCCTCGGCTATAGGGGTTCAGTTTGCGGGGGTTGATGATCCTTTGGTTGCTGAAATGCTCACCCTCCAGGAGGCGATTACCTGGTGTCCGGTGTTGGGGTTTACGGAGATGCGATTGGAAGGAGACGCTAAGATGGTTATTGATAAAAACAATCAACTGGACACCAGAGACAGTTCGATTGGCGCCTTGTTAGTGGAGGTTGTGCAGTGTTTATAGGAACATCCGGGTTTTAATGTACGATTTGTAGGTCGGCGTAGCAATAGGGTAGCCCACTTGGTGGCTCAAAGGCCCTTCAATTATACTCGACTACGAGTCGCTTCTTTGATTTCATGGCCTGGTTAAATTTCAGGATGTAATTGTCTATATTTCTGATCAATATATTTGATTATCTTTTGTAAAAAAAAAACAAATTCAAATCAATGGTATTCGACCTAATTCGACATGGTTAAATTCTTCTTATGACAACAAGTTCTGCACTTTTAAATATTTCTTCTTATGACAATTGAACCAAACTAATGTGTGTTCAAGCTAATTCGAGTCTGTGTCGATGTCCGAATTTTGGGTCAAGAACAAAATTTTACCCGCTTTTTATAATTAACGAATAGGGTCTGGTGTGCATTTTATTAACAACACACCCTGTTTTATCAAGTTAAATCCAGTGTTCTTGCATTTTGGGGGGAGAGAACGCATTTTACCCTATTTTGTGATCGACAAATTGGGTCGCATGTGGATTATGTTAGAAACTCGGCCCGCTTTATCAAATCGGTTAGAGAAATTCATGTGTGTTCAAGTTAATTCATGTGTGTTCACAAATTTTGGGTCGCTTTGTGATTGAACCCAAATTGAACCCGCCTCTTATGACAGTTGAACCCAAAATCCCACTTTATCGAGTTAAATCCAGTGTTGACGCATTTTGGGTCGACGACGGTTTACCCTTGACACTTTTGGGGGCATGAATGAATTTTAACCACTTTTGTAATCATCGAATTGGGTTGAGAACGCACTTTACCCGCTTTTGTGATCAACGGATTGGGTCGCGTGTGGATTTTGTTAG